ATGGCAAAACTAGGAGAAATAGATATTAGAGAAATATCCGTAATTTTTATCCTGCCTTTAATATTTTAGTAAATAGTATGTACAGTACAATACCACTTAGACTTATATATTGCTTCACAGTGCTTTTCAGCCCTAAGCAATTTACAGAAACAGCATATTGCCCCCAACAATCTGGGTCCTCATTTTACCGACCTCAGGATGTAAGAGCTAGTGAGAATCGAATCGCTGAACTTCTAGCACCTGGTAGTCAGCAGAAGTAGGCTGCAGTACTGCATTATAACCACTGCGCCACCACAGCTCATAAATGTTATGGATATTTTGCATAAGTGGAACTTCACACAAACAGAAGCCCTTTCCACTCAAGTGCCTGCTGTTCGTGCAAGTGGAACTTCGTTTGTGAGAGCAAGCACCCTGCACTTGCACACAAAGCTCTATTTGTGCAAGTGGGGGGCACATACACTGCTCGCACAAATAGTGCACCTGCTACTCACATGCCCACCCCACCCACCCACCCTGGCTGGGCTGGGCTGGTAAGATGGAAAAATTGGGGACTGTTGCACTATTACATCTAAACTCTTTAAAGAGCAACTACCTTTAACATGGGGATGATCTGCATTTAGGAACAAGATTGCTTTCAGCTGTAAGATTTTTAAGTTACATGGAAATATTTTTACCAGTTAAATTACATGTAGTTGAAAGGTTTATAATGCAACTGAATTCTAGTTAAATGAAATCTGATTGGATGTCAACAATTGAAAAATATGTGTCCTGGATATCTCAGTAAGTTGGAAATAGAGATACTTAAGTAATAAGAACTTAAGTAATAGTATATTTTATATAAGGGAGTTGTGGTGACACAGTGGTTAAAATGCAATATTGCAGGCCAATTCTGCCAACTAAAAGAAGTTTGACTCTGACTGGCTCAAGGTCAACTCAGCTTTCTATCTTTCCAAGACCAGTAAAATGAGGACCCAAATTGTTGGGGGGCAATATGCTGTGTAAACCACTTAGAAAAGGCTATATATAAAGGACTATGAAACGGTATATAAGTGCTATTGCTCTTCAAGTATCTTATCATAGGAACATGTATCTTGAAAGGGGCCATTTAAATAAAGATTAATGCTACTAGAGTAGTTTTTCACATTTGAAGACCAACAGATCCCACATACTTAATTGGATGAAAAATTAGCTCCACAAGAGTTGTCCCAATGAAATGAATGAGACCTTAGTTAAGGGTATGAATATTTTAATGAATACATACTAGAAGTAGCTAATTCTCAATCTAACCTTTAGTTATTTTTCAAAATCATTTCCCAAAATTAATTATTCTTAAATACTGTTCTAATTTTGCAGTTGTCATCCATTCCTGCATATTATGCAAGCATAACATATTCTATTAATGTTTGCTCAGAAACCATGGTTTTTTATTATATGCTATCTATCTATCTATCTATCCATCCATCCATCCATCCATCTCTTAACTGTCCATATCCCTCATAAAGTGAATGCATAAGAGCCAGTCTCAGTCCTTTTCCCTGGAGATACTCAATGGGAAGAACCTCTGCCTGAGATGCTGAGAATAGAACAATTGTTTAGAATAGCAGTGTTAATGTAAAGCAGTTTCATAGAGGTCAAAGTGATTTAAATCCAGACAGTTTTTGAATCTAGACAATTCAAAAACAGTCCAATTTCATTAAAAAAAAACACCTTGGAATTTTTTGGTAATAAGAATAATTTGCAATACATTTTGCAATAGCTTGTGTAATCTAAGTATATGTACCAGCATCAATTTTTATTAAAGATAGAAAGCAGAAATACAAGTGAATACAAAGTGGGACACACATGCATAATGTTACATATTAGTGTTGCTATAATTAAACTGGACAGCATGTTAAACAGAACATATACAGTATGTATTTTCATGAAATACTGTTGTAATATGTGGTACCACTGAAAAATATTAGGTATTTTAAAAATGTATGCCAGTTTACAAAAAAATGCACCCATTTAATTCCTTCGTAAAGCACACTAAACTGATAAACCATGATTGACAAGCTTTTAAAGTGCTGCATTTGATACACCGATCTCATCTAAAAGTATATGAAAGGCCATATGCTAAAACATACATTTTCACATTTCAGAATGTTAATGCTGGTGCTATTGCCAGATATGCAAATTTTGGAACACATCTTCAACATTTAATCCAATCAAGTAATACTATAGAATTACTATATAGTAGCTATCATTTAAGTCTCAGTTTTCAAATTGCACTCTATTCTCAATTTCTGAGAATTTTAAAGTTAGTGATACTTTTAAGGATATTAAACTCTGTGTGTGTGTATAAAATTGACACCAGAAAAAAATGGATATTATATTCTTCTACTCCCAGATTGAAGAGTTCATTTAAATTGATTTCTATATCCATAAGAAGGTGCAAATAATAGTTTTTAAAGATAATGTAGACATAGGTTCCTTTATAAAATAAATGATGTAACAGGAAATTTCAGCTCCCAGTTAACTTAGATGTAGACTGGAATTTTTTTCTATGACAAAAACATTAATTTTAACACTAGAAAAAAGCTAAGAAGTGACATAAGAGATTGTTTGGATTATGACATGTTTCTATTAGCAATCATCCAATGTAATTTTGTAGCCATTTTAAAATAGGAGAGAAAATCGTAATGTTTTAAATATTATAACCCATTACCGCAAAGTATGTTTACCAAGACTTTCTTTTTATAGCTTTCAAGGATAAAATGTAATCCAAATCTGGTACCAAGATATACCATCTTCATACTTAGATATTTAAAGGAAATAATATTCTGTATTGTCCAAATTTAGAAGCTTTCAAACAAGCTTTCATTTAGATGAAACATGTCAGATTACATTTATTTTTGTTTTTTTCTAAATCCAAGGATTTATTTTATATAAACATTTAGTTCTTGAATGCATTTCCATGCAACTAATTATCTTTTTATGTGTATAAAGATCTGTAGAGAAACATATTTATGGCAATAGCTCAATAAAAACTAATGTGCTATATTTTAAATGACATTAAAAATTATAATACTGTTGGTAAAATCTGCAGTAAAATAGTGTGATTTAAACCCATGTCTCCAGACAAACCTTAAAGCAAAAATGCAAAAAGTACATACTCTAAAATTAAAAACATTTAATAGAACACAATATACAAAATAAGCTTCCCTTAGCACCTTTACTTAAATGGAATATAAACAGGTCAGTTTCTCAACACCTTTGATAAGTGCATGTAATCAATTCTACAGCAAACAAAATAAGATTAATACAGTATCTAGGTTTAACTGTAATCTCAGCCAGTCTGTGAACAAATACGATTTTCTTCACAAGATTTAAAGGCCTTAGTGTATTAATATATTCAAGTCTCAGAATACATCTTTTCTTTCTCTAAAAGTCTTAATGTTAATCATGTTTTTCCAAGCAAATGTAGATATACAGTTACAGATTAAATGCTTAATATATTACACACCCATGTTTTGTATAAATTACACCCTATTTTTCAAACCATACTTGGCAACTGAGCCATAAAAAATTATTGTATAGGGTTATATTCGTCTGTGTGCGTGCCTCTGATAAGAGAGAAGCAATCTCCAGTGCTACTGCTGTCCAAGTATCTATTACAGGACTTTAAGGTCAACTAATCTGATTTTAGACTTTAAAGAGATCAGTACCAATATTAGGGTAATTGTAAAATGGTTTTATTTCCTATACTTTTTATTTCCATTATTTAAGCAGAACTTTAAGTAAATTGCTATAACATTCTAGTCTAATAGTCTTTTTGGCCAATAAAAGCATGCAGCTTAGTGAGTTTGGTAACATTTTCTTATACTGTAACAAGTACAATTGCAGTTGTTTTGTTTAAGGCTTTTGGCAAAAGTACCACTTTATTAGTCTTAACTGAGTTATCCTTAATATCTCTACATTAGTTAGTGTAGTTGTAACAGACTTTCCTGGAAGTCCACTACTTTGGGGTTTTACTCTGAGCAGATGTGTGTAGGATTGCATTTCATGTCTTATTAACTTAAAATCAACATTTAATTTAGTATTGTTTTCCATTTAAGAACCACAATTACCTTTAGTTACATTATTTAACTCATCATATATGGGGAAATGAGTGATTGCAGATCTCTTTGCTGTTTCTAGATTGAGAACTTTCACTTCACTTCAGTTCAATAAATTCACATTTCTGAATTGATTAAAAAGTGCATTTTCACATTGACTGTCAGCACATTAAATTAGGTCCAAATCTTTAACTTCAGATCAGGAATCTCAAATCAAATATGAATACTGACAAGTTACATAGCCTAGTTGTAATCTAATTCAATTAGTTTAGCTTTCCTGACACACCTGTACTTCACAATATATCTTTAAAAATAATTTTATTTTTAATGGGAACTTGACTTACTGCAAAGCTATATCCCATTATAAGCTTTCTTAAAAATATTTAAATTAATGTGATACTGCAACATAGTTCTTACTTTTTGGGGGGACGGACAGACTGTGGTATGTGTAAGGTTAAGGTAAATTATCTTTCCTTACAGCTATCATTTTGTAAATTGGAGAAACCCTCCCTTGCAGCCATTTTGCAAATATATCCTTGGTTCTCAAAATTCCAAATATATCCCTAAGGCTCACAACGTTGCAGATCCTTGCACTAAAGCATAACTTCGTTGAGATATTTGACCCAGCCTATACCTGTTTGAAATTTTATAGGTCATGTTACATTAAAAATAAATGGAAAAAGCAATTAACCATGTATATATTTGGGACCTAAAAAGGTACAAGTATATCCTTTGGTACCAAGAAATATTAGATGTTTAGATCCAAATTACTCATTTCCTAATGCTTCTTTCACTGATGGCAACCAAATTGCTAAACCACTTCCATTTTCTGATAATTTGAATTATTTCTAAGCCAGCATGCATTAAACCAGTTTTGATCACCACACATCATTACAATCGCACATTTTAATTTCTTCCTTTCTCTCAAATGCTAAATCCTTTCCTTTTAAATTTACTTGTAAATTATTTTAATTCAGATAATCTCCAAATACATTTTCTACCGCCTACAAAAGCCCTCCAGATTAAATATAACTTTTCTACCACATGCAAACCATATTATTCGTAACACGTTTTATTACCAAACAGCATTTGTGTATGTATGCAATATACACACACATACACTTATAAGGCTTATAATAGTGAATGAGTTTTTCAGTTAAGAGCTACAACAGTGAAAGGATGTGTGCATGTAACGAATCAGATCAGAGTGCAATGGTTTCCAATAGCCAAAACTTTGTGATTTTGATTGCAAATCTCTAAGTTTTGTTTTTAATATGAAGCACTAGCCCAGTTGGCAATTACCTTTTCCTCCCTTCCTCTACCTCCAATGTATTCACATCTGAAGGTTTTCTCTATGATATACTACTTTCAAAGAGAACAATTTGACAGTTATCAGGGACATTGCTATACTTAGAAAAATGGACAATTTGGAAACATACCACTCTGCCTCTAAGGTTTGACATTAAATTTAACAATCTGATGTCATGGAACCCTTGAAATATTATAGCTGCAATATATTATTTATCCATATGATGAATACGCTGATTCATATTGCTGAGTTTGTTACAATTTTGAAGGCCCTGTTATTTATACATATTAATACCCAAATAGATTATACCTTTTAAAAAATAATTAATGTATACTGGTATTTAGGCACCATGGAATTATCCAAATTTATTAGTAACTTTACTTTCTAAGACTGCTGAAAATGTAACTCGCATTCCTTATTTTAACACAGTTTTCCAAATGAGCAATTTTAAATAAGATAGCTTTGGAATTACTGCTTTAAGTTACAAAAACATATACATTTCATATGAACAAAACTGAGATGCAAGTAATTTTTCCAGATATGAATAGAACCATCTTAACTATTTCATAGATTCCAGAATCAAAAATCCAGTAATGGAGCTGAGATTTTTATTTCATCAGTGATTCTAAAGTCCTTGATGCAGGCCTAGCTGGCTACAGCAATGTATATATTCAGTTGTGTTACAGGAATTCCTTCAGCAGCTGCTTAGATTCTTTTTCAAGAGTTGATACACCTGTTGCTATCAGTTGCTATCTCTAGTTCTTAGTTGTGCAAAAGAATACTCCAAGATTATTGGAAAATATGACACCACTGCATGCACTCTTGTAAACATTTTACACTATCAACTGCAACCCTGTGCATATTAGCCATAATTAAATTTAGGGCTTTCAAACTTTGAATGAATCTGTAACATTACATATAGCTTATTTTAAAATCTGGAGGCTTGTTCTGGATCAGTGAGGTAGAAAACATGACCAACCTCACAGAAAATTCACACTTCTCCAAAGTTGGTGTGTCCAGTCTCCTTGGCATGTTCTCTGGCTTCCACTTGCCCTGTTAATCCTTTCTGACAAACCATACATCTCAATGTAAACCGATTTACATCAGTAAACTGTCTTTTTCTTCTGGCTTCCTCTGCTAATTCCAAAGCCTGTGCAAGGACAACATCATCATTTGTGGAAAAAATTGTCTGAGGAGGAATGTCTGAGTTGGGGATTTTACGTTCAAGTGGATCATAGTGAATACCATCATAAATTAAAAGCACCCGTTTAGCATAGCCAGCATCTTCCCCAAAACGATCAATTCTGACTGTCTGGGTATCAACTACACAAATTTCACACTGATAGAATTTAGATAATATAGAAACCTCAATTGCACCTCCCCATGTATCTTCTCTTCTGATCCAGTCACAATATTCCTGATTACTTTTTCCTAGGACTGCCTCACTATAGGATTCCAAGTCGCTTGCTACAATTTGGGCAATGAGATTTCTCATTTCTGGGGCACAGCCTGGTTCATAAACCCCACCTTCTACTACATAATATATGCTGGTAAAAAGACATGAGTTGTCAGCTGGAACAACCTTTCGGGCAAGCACAGGTACAGCTTCTCTAACCGAATTAGAAACAGTCCGCTTTGTAACTATAGATGAATCAGTCTTGGGCTTGGTTGTATCTTCTTCAACTATTAGAGTATCACCTGTCAAGAAAAAAATAGAACAAAGCAATAACATTATATTATGATTCTATCATGGTTCTTTCAGGTACCCCTCCTTCAGTATGTTATATGACTATAATATTTCTTTTGCTGCAGTGATTACTGTAATGATATGAAATATTTCACTCATCAAAGAAAATACTATGAAGTTATTCATGTACAACTATCATAGAATCATAGGGTTGGAAGTGATCTCGGAGATTGACTAGTCTAATCTCTGCCCAAGATAGGATGTCCTCATACTTGGAATTAGATATAATTCAGGTACAGTCATTAACATTAGAGATAGTTGGAGGCAAGCAATAGAAAATGTCTTTATAAGGCTTCCAGAAGGAAGAAAAAAATCTAATAAGTAAATTCTTATATATTATTTCTGTAGCCAATAGATGTATTGTGAATAAAAAATACGTCTTACAGAATTTTACAACACACATTTCTTTACCAAATCTACCTAGTCCATTTCACCAGGAAAAAAAATACTTGGGAATGAACAATTGAGATAATCTGACCATATTTTCCATATTAAAAATTCCATTCATTGGAAAGATGCAGGAGACTACAAGTTATAGCAATCCCCTTATTTCCCAAAGACAGGGAAACTATGCTTCACATAGGAGCAAAATTATGAAATATAATTGATGGGTGCTGCCAAATGGAGACAAGTATAAGATGTCAAAACATTTGTGTCATGGCTTTGCCATTTCCTGTTGACAAAGAAAAAATATGCAATGTTAAAGATAGCTTTCTTCAAGCATATCTTTAAATTTATCTGCAAAAAAGAGGACTATTACCAAGCAGGAGACCTATTTTTTTCTAGGAGAAAAGATATCAATTTCAACTCTTACCAGCTAGGATCCTGCATTCAATACATATCAACTGCATCCTAGCATAAACAACGAAGCCAGATTTCTACAGGCTAAAAGCAGCTTCTCCTCATTTCTGTGTATTCAGCATTTTTCTTCCTTTTTTAAAAATTATAAGGTCACCATTCAATCCCATGTCCTTCATTCAGAAAAACACCGAATGAAATGACCTGGACTGAAAAGATTTCTTCCCAAGATTTTAAGTGGCGAGCTGGTTCTTGGTTCGACTCCCCAAAAGCACAACAGCGGCGCCACACGCCGAGCAGGACTGGAAACCACTTCCAGATCTCCCCGCTAACTGTAGAGAGGCACCTCTTGATGGGAGGGAGTGGGGGGGGGGAACTTTCACCGGGAACGGCTTAAGAGCTCGGGCAAGTCCCTTCCGCTTACCGGAATGAATGCCCAGCTCTCCGAGGCGCTGCTCTTCATCACTGAGGTCGAGGCACGAGGGGGGGAAGCCGAGCAGCAGGCGCTGGGCCTGGATGGGGACACCGGTGAGGGCAGCGATCACGCCCTGGAGTTCGTGTAGACGGGAATGTGCCGTGAGGCCGGGAAGCGGAAAGGAGCCATTCCGCGCTTTACAACGCAGCCGTAACATGATCGCTGCCCGAATTGTAGTGTTCCTGCCGAGGGCGGCCGGGCTTCATTTAACAGCGCCCCCCCCCTCCCCGCAGCAAAAATGGCTGCAACTCCCGGCAGCCAGGCAACTCCCGTAGCCCTTCCCTTTGGGCTTCCTTATTGGTCGCTTCTACATCTTCCTGGCATGCACAATTGCCTGAGAGGCCAATCAGAATCGCGGGAAGACTCTCACCTCAGGATCAGGATAAACATCCGTTCGTGCCGCTTTTTGTCAGTACGCTTGCGCGGAAAACTGACGTTAGGGCTGAGGGGTGTGACGCAATCCATCTTTTGCCCGCCCACTTTCTTGAAGCTTTAACTTTCGATAACTAGCTACTGTTGAGGCGCCTCTTTGCGCATGCGTAAAATTAAAGCCGCCTTCCAATGACTCTTAATTTCTGATGGCTGTATGGACGTGTGGGTACATTTGTCTTGGCAACAGTACGGAAGTAATTCGCAATTGCCTTCTTCCGGAATGTTTTCTTAACTTCCCCAATCTAGTCGGCCGCTTTGGGTTTTCTGGTGGCCTCCTTTCCAAGGACAACGGAATAATTTCGCTTTGACTTTCGTTCTAAGCATTCAAACACATGAATTCGTGAATGTGAACACCTGTCCCATCTGCCTACTGTCTCCACGGGTTGCTTTTTGAGTTCAAACTAGGAAGCGAATATTACCAAAGGACGTCAGTGTCGCATAGTGAATGAACGCCAATACATGACACATATACATGCATGCATGCATGCATGCATACAACACACATACATACCTGGGTGCTTAAACCCTGTGCGAAAGGTAGGGAATTGGTTTCTCCCGCGTAGCGTTTCCCTATACATTTGCAATCTGCATTCATGCAGGCTCGAACACAGGTATCACTCCGGTTCCCATTGACCTAGAAATCTTTCCCTCTTTTTCGGAGTCCCTTTGTGTCACTTGTCTTGGAGTATCTGGCATTGTTCTGCTTGGCCTTCACGCCGGTTGGCATAGCTGCATCTCCGAAGAATTGCCACTCTCTGCCCGCCCACCGCCTGGGAGGGGACAAGGTCACCTGCGCCCGGGTACCTGGCCGTGGCTTGGCAGCGCTCCCGGGAAGGATCTCTTGCGGATTGGATCGGCTCCGCTTGCCCAGCCCAGGACTCTGGCCTTGCTGTCCCCGGCACGGGCGTGCTGAATTTCGCAGGTATGCCTGCAGGGACCGGGAGAAAGGACCGGAGCCGAAGTGACCGAAGGGTGGGCGGCGATCTTGCTCAGTAGTCGCGGGGCATCTCCGACGCGGTCCTTCGTGCCGAGTCTGAAGGCGGGGACTCCCACACTAAGGGAATAAGGTTGAGAACGGAGGTGTAGGGCATCGTTATTCCTTTCCTTTGAGGACTACGTTCTTCGTATTTAATTTTTCTTCTTCATATTTATATTCATGCAAGATTATATTTTGCCTTATGGGAAAATTATAATTAATAGAAAACTCTCTCTTGTGTTGACCTTGACTAAGAACTTTTATGTAGGTTCTTTTTCCATGGGGGGGGGATGGGGGGATCCCAGCAAGAAGGAACTCATAGAGTAGAGTATGTCTATTATTTTTCTCTCTAGAAAATAATTTCACACTTCACAACTCCCCCTCCCCCTGTGTCCTCAGAAGGAATTTGGTGATCCAAAACTGAGGAATTGTGTGCCTTGCAGCAATGTCAGCAGATGCTGTTGCCATCCCAGAGAACATAAATGGTAACAGTTACAGCCAAGAAAGCAAGCCTTCAAATCTACGAGCTTCGGAGAAGAAGTGTTGTGAGTATTTGTGATTGATTTGTGTTATTTTTTGGAAGAGAGAAAGATTCACTTAGGATCATTTTGATCACAGTCTTGAACAGAGGGGTGATTTCTTTTTTGAGGCAAAACTGTTGATATCTGGAAACTAAGCTTCTTGGCATATTTAAATCCTGGTTCAGTACCTTTGGTCTCAATGTTTTCCATTTTACAAAATGCTTCTGCAAAATGAAGGTTTGCTGTCTTAAAACTGGGAGATCCTGTTTTGAATCAACATGTAGGTTGGGACTCCCATTGAGTGACTTCCAAGATAATCATTCATTTAAGATCATTCTTAATCTAAGAATGAAAAACATCATAGGTGAGATAAGACTCATGTAAACTGCTGAGTGAAAGCCAGTTTGGTATAGTGATTAAGGCAATCAGGCTAAAAAACAGAAGACCATGAGTTGTAGTCCTGCCTTAGATCTAGAATGAAGCCAATTTGATGACTTTCAGACAGTCATTCTCACTGAACCCCAGGGAGCAGGTAATGAGAAACCACTTCTGAAAAAAAAAACTTGCCAAGAAAATTGCAGGGACTGATACAGGCAGATATCAGAAGTCAAAAACTGACTCAATGCAGCAACCATATACAGGCTACTTGCATATGCCATGAAAGAAGGAGATGTTACTGGGTTAATGATGAATTTACTAGTATCATTTTGAAGGAATAACAAAGAGGAAACAGAATGGAAAACATTTACTTTTGAAGCTGCATGTCTGTGGAAGTAGTTCCTTCCTGCTTTGAAGAGTTGTGCTCCTTTAGAATATTTGACAAAGCCTTTTTAATATACTGTGGAATTTAAGAATTTAAGGAGATTTTTTAAGGATTGTGACAAATGGACAATATTATATTGAAAAAGTATGAATAGCCTCAGTTTTAGGATTTTTAATGTAGATTTTTCAGGAATTTAATATATCTCAATTGCTGTAGATCCTCTTGGAAAAAAGCTAGGGAAGAAGTAATGTGCTGGATGCCGATAAATCACAATGATTTATTAAACAGTGTATTAAACCCAGCTAAAATCAGAAAGGCTGTCTTCAGTTAACTATCTTGTAAAACAAATGCATAGCTGTCTTACAATTAGATGAAATGCTCACATTTCTTATTAGTAGATTTTTCTATGTTTTGGGATGTTTTTACTTTATATGTCAGTCAGTAGTTGGAAATAGTTTTACTTATTGGTATCAATTTATTTTTGCTAGGAGAGCAATAGTTTAACTAAATTGTATCTTGGATGCTCTTTCTCAAAGAATTTAAATGTCACTGGCTTGTTTTACTTCAAGAATACTATCTTATTTGACATTTGAGTATCAAAACAACATGGAGAATGACTCCCTGATTTCTTTTACTTGGGCTGTGTTTGATCTTCTCTCCTTGGTGCCAGCACCTCCAATAATGAACACATATGTCCCATTCCTCCAGCATCAGTAAAATAAATGCTTTCTTCTCCCCCTCCCCCTTTTTTGTGCTTCTCTCCTATTTTCTGTTTACTGATTATTTTCTGATGTGAAATAGATTAGATCTCCTTCTGCTCCTTCACCTTCTTTCTTTTTCCCATTCATCAGCTTACAGATCTATTTACCATCTATAATTTGTCTTTCATTTTGACTTTTAAGGAAAGAGACTTATTTCTTTTCTGGAATATAATGTAATTCTTAATTACTAACAGCTTGTATTGTGTCCTGCTTTACAATCTCTGTTATTCTGCACATCACTGTGAAGATCATATCTGCTGGTGAATATATTTTTTTTGTAAGACTTGGATTTTATTGTTACTTTTTTAGTATTTTGAAGGCTGAAATTAGAAACAGCATTTCATTTTTCAACAAAGCATCATTTCAGCTAAGCTGCATTCCTCTTTTTCAATTGGTCACTTGTGGCTAGATAGTGTTCTATTGTCTTTAATATTTTAGAACTGTAGCACTAAAGCTAAATTTGCTTCATCCAAATCCTCCAAATAAGCCTTCAATAAACCTGTTGTCTCTGACAGTTCTTTGCTCATTTTATTAGCCTACTGTTTTTTGTTTTTATTTTTTACACCACAGATAAGAAAGTTACTTTGCTGAACATGAGTGAAAGGAAGACAAATTTCCCAACAAGATTTCCTTTCTTGAAACTTTCATTCTGGCTTTTATGAAGCTGACAATCTTATGTATCTAATTATTTTTTTTACAGTCTAATGTCTTTAAACTTAGTAAAAATGTTGCTAGGGCAAATAATTGCTATTTAGAAAAGAATTTATAAAATGAACAAGCTTACAGACAACCTCTTATTTTAGAGGCTAGTTGAACTTTAGAAACCAGTAAAGCAGCTTTAGATTTTAGTCAGAAATGGATTTAACCATATTATCTCTGTAAAATGTCAGCACCCATGCGATTTATTCAACTTCAGCAAGAATGGGCAATCCAGCTTTTAACTCAGTCTCAGCAAATTATCAGTTTAGATCTCTAGCAAGCTTGCTGGGCTGCAAAAAAGGGGGATTTGGCAGTGGAAGAATAGAAAAAGAAAAATGTTTTACCCTATGCAATAATATTTACAGGTATCTATACATGCCATACAGTTTTTCATTATATTATTCAGTGGACCCTGCAATGTTTGGAAGAATATCCATACTATGTGTCTGTTGCATATCTGTAATCATGCTCTCTTGATCCCTACTCTGCTGGGCATAACAAAGTATACATATACATAAACACATGTCATCATATTACTCAATTTTGGGTTAAGCAACATTATGCAAAACACAGAAAAGGATAAGAAATAGAAACCAAGAAAATTTAAACAATTTTCCACCAATACCATCCATTATCTCTCTCCATATGTTTACGAATGTGTAATCCAAATTTTAAAAAAGGCCTTGTGGATTTTACTCCAGGGGGTGGTACTCAACTCTGTTTCAAAGACTCCAATGCTGTCCAAAGATTTTCTATGGTCATGTAGCCAGCATGAAATCGCAGAGTGCTGTTACCTTCCCACCAAAGTAGTAACTACCTATCTATTTGCATTAGCATGCTTTCGAACTGCTGGATTGGCAAGAGCTGGGGTGAAGACAGGAGCTCACCTCCTTGCATAATGCTCGGGTCTTGAACCGGGACTATCAGCTTTCCAACTGACAAGCCAAGCTCAGTGTCTTAATCACAGGCATCGCATTGCCCTATAAACATAATAGCATAACTTTTATTTTATTCATTTATTAATCACATTTAAATGGTTACCATCTCACAAAAGGTGACTCTGAGTAACACACAACAGTGTCTTAATTTAAATTATATATTTCTCTAAGAGACTTGTGATAAAAGTTAGTTTAACATTAGCCCAAGGGAAATCAAATATTTTTCAGTTTTTCATATTTATATTTTCAGGAGATCAGGGGTGAGTTCTGGCAGGAACTATTGCTGGTTCGTTCATGAGTGCGCTTTGCATGCATGCACATCACAATGCAATAAAAATAGTTCTGCGCATGCGCAGAAGCGAAAAACAAGTTGTGCCATCTGGAGAACCGGTTCAGGGGCATGGCAGGCCTGGGTCTCTGCCGGTTCCAGCAACCTAGGCCACCAAACCACTACTGGTTTGGCTGAACTGATTCGAACCGGTCAGAACCCATCACTGCAGGAGATATAATATTCTTTTCTACTCAAGTTTGAAAAACATTTTTCTTTAATTGGAAAATATTTTAAGGAAAAATATTATATCCAATTTGAACCCTTCTTCATTGGCTCTTTTTATTTTGCTGGCCACATTCATTAGCAACTACTGGAGTCCATAATGCCACGGTCCATTGATTGACTCTAGGAAAGGAACATAATATTTTGAAGTATGGACAGAAAATCGAATGTTAAAATTTTCAAGAATGTTTTTTTTTATTTTTCGACTTTTAGAAACTATTGATTTGCTTCTCTCTCTTATTTTATAGCATGGGCCTCTTATATGACTAACTCACCAACTCTGATTGTAATGATTGGTCTTCCTGCAAGAGGCAAGACTTATGTATCCAAGAAATTAACTCGCTACCTCAACTGGATTGGAGTGCCTACAAAAGGTTCCTGAAGATTATTGTTATTGCTGCTCTTGTCATTTATAATATATTAATTGAATTAATTTTAAAAATCTGATTCTATCTTTAGTATGCAATTGGATAAGCTATATATCTATAGGAAGCTGACCAAATAGCTAGTCCGAGAGTTAGAGAAATGCAATCTTGTTTGATTGAATGTAATTAAAAGCTATTATCCAGACAACTTTATCCAGGATAAATTGTTGATTATTCTAAACTGCTTTTTTGGCAACAATGTTAGCACCAAACCAAGAAGTTTTAAATAATATCACTTCAGAAATACAATATGAGCAGATATCATTTTCTTTCTCAATGTGTCTTTTAAGATATTCTTTGAAAATCCCACTGAGAACAGCATGTGTCTTTGTCAGTTGCTCATCTGGAATATATAATTAATAACAAGACTACTTTTCTTCTTTTCATAAGCTTCCAACAAACACAATATGAATTATGGTCAGATAATGCAGCATTAGTTATTTTAGTAGATGAGGTGTTAATCTTGTTCACCAAATATAGTTCTAGAAAAAAAGGGAAGAGAGGATATAAATAATTATAGAAATAGTTAGATACCAAATTAATTATAGTCATTGGCCTTTAGTTTAAGATTTGGCTTTTAGATTAAGATGAATAATGCACATTTCATCCACTGCAGAGTACCGCTGCAGAACATAGTAAAGCTTTTCAGATTTTGTTGCTTAATTGGAAGTTTACAGGTTCCAATTGACAGGATAGATAGGTTTTACATACAAAATGAGCTATAATTTAAAGCACACTTTTTATCAGAATTATATTTTAAAATATAGCACATTTTATGAATCAAGCTAAACATTTTTATTTTCTCCTCTTGAAATCAAACAACTTTAAATACTAAATTTTTCCAGCATCATGCACTTTACAGTGAGGGTTGAGTCATCACACTGTCCATTTTGCTAATGGGGAACTGACACTGAGATGTTCTCAAGAATTCATACCACAGGCAGTCCTCAGCTTATGACCACAATTGAGCCCCATTTTTTTGTTTCTAAGTGGGACAGTTATTAAGTGAGTTTTGCCCCATTTCATGAACCTTTCTTGCCGCATTGTTAAGTGATTCATTGCTAAGTTGTTAAGTTAGTAGTGTGGCTGTTAAGTAAATCTGATTCTCATTTGGCTTTGCTTGGAATAACATGACCCCGAGACACTGCAACCATCATAAATAGTTGCCAAGCATCTGAATTTTGATCACACGTCCACGGGAATTTTGCAGCAGTCGTAAGTGTGAAAATTATAAGTCACTTTTTTCAATGCTGTTGTATCCTTGACAGTTCACTAAATGAAATGTTGTAAGTTGATGATTTGTATTTTATGGCTGAGGACCCGCAATGAATTATTGAGAACATAAATTCAGGTTTCCAATTCCAATGTTAATGCTTGCACAAGTTAAGAAATATGGTAACTTTTTACTGTAAATTTCAATTAAATTAATGACATCTAAATGGAAATAATTATAGTACAGACTTTAGCTTAATGCATATAGTTATTAAAATATATGTATTTTATGAGTACAATATAGTACATTGAAAAAGTTGTATAATGAATATATTTGCTCAATTAGATAATACTTACTGTGGAACATTACTAACTAAATTTCCTGATTTTTAAAAAGTTTTTAATTTAGGGGTTTATCGTCGTGAAGCAGTTAGATCATATAAATCATATGATTTCTTCAGACATGATAATGAAGAAGCCATGAGGATTAGAAAGTAAGTTAACTACATGTTAAGTGTTTGCTAAATAATAAATATGCTTGAACCAATTCATATTGCTGATTATAGAGTTCAATAAGATAATTTCAAATTTTGATGAAGATGCTCACTTTCTTAAAAATAGATCTACTGAATTTTGTAAGTAATCAGGAATAGGTTTCCGCAATGATTATAATTTCTAAATCTTTGAATTTGCAGAGGGGGGGGGAGAAGCAAAGGGATTAAAAGAAAAAAAGATTCCTAAAATAGGGGATAAAATAAAAATATTTCAGCAAAAGAGAATAAAAGTTTCAAACATTGCTGAAATCATTGATAAAAAAAGTCTCACCATTCTGATATAAAATATATTTCTTTACTCTGCTTCTAATTTAGTGCTTCCAACTAACAATAAACTTTCCTAGTACTATTTCTATTTATTTATACTTTTATATCCTGTGTTATTTTGTTAGCATGAAATTTCAAGGCTCTTTAGTTTGAAAAGCTTATGTTACAAAACGAAGTTTCAGGAGAAAATTTGTATTTATTTTCAATTATTTATATGCGCTGTGTATTTGAGTGATTCTAGGTGGCTTATAGCAAAAGTTAAAAAACAGTTCAATTAAGTATCTTGCATTTGATGAATAACAGATTTCAATTCTTTGAGTGAAGGTTTTACAGCTAGAAGCATAGGTATTAAATTATTTTGCTTCCTTCCCTCGTTCCTTTTTGAGAAAAACACATCCTTGTAGGGATAATGGAATATTCTGAACCCAGAGGAGAATAAAATATGTAGAAAAAGTAGACAATGTTAAAAATATAGCTTCAGTGAATAAGTGCTCAGGACCCAGTATTTTATTCAGTATTTAGAGGTTATTCTTTTTTCTTTAGATTAATTCAGGGTTCTCTAAATGTAGGTCATGATCAAGAATTGAGAGTCACAACCAAAGTTGGGAAGAGTTACAAGTTTTATTTAAAACTAAGCAGGTTTGTGTACTATCCAAAACCCAGAACACAAAAACTGACTCTCACTTTCTGTGTACAGAGGAAGCAGTGAGCAAAGCCTGGTGTACCAGAGATGTTGCATTAGCTTCCAAAAAACTTCTTAGTACAATTGAAAGGACTGGTTTTAAGCAATAATCCCCCTTATGGCTTGATAATTAGGTAGAATCCCCTTTTTTCAGGTGGAATCAATCTTTATATTTTAATTGTCCCAAATAGGATTCTTGATCGCATCTCTGATATGAGGTGGTGGGGTCGGGGAGAAATAATGTATGTTTCAGGATAACAGAACAGCCTACCTGAGGAGGTCCAAATGACAGCTTCCTCGGTAGGGGGAGTTAAGAGTTAACTTTCCTGTGGAGCCTTTAATGGATGATGAAGGGGTTTAGGAGGTATGGGTTGGCTTTATTATCTTTATGAACTACGAAGTGTTTTTAAAACTGCTGTAAGTTTATGTGGCGTATAATATATTAAAATCAGATACCAATCTGAACAATATTAATTATTTAGTGTTATGATTTATTATTGTTTTATGTTCTATTATTTAGAATCAGAAGATATATTCATAATTTTAGGAGATTGCAGTCCAGGTAGTTCTTGACATACAATTGTTCATTTAATGGTAGATTGAAGTTATGATGGCTTTGGAAAAAGTGACTTACAACCTGTCTTCCTAATTACAATAATTGCGCCCACGTTGATATAATTGCAATTTGAGTACTTGCCAACTAGTTCACATTTATAACTGTTACAGCATCTTAGGGTTAAGTGATTGTGATTTATGATCTTCCCAGTGTGATTCACTTAACAACCAAGTGTTTCATTTAACAGCTGCAGTAAAAATGGTCATCAAATTGGGTCCAGTCTAGTCACATGATGATTCTGTTAACTACTGCATCACTCAGTGACCAAAACTCTGGCCCCAATTGTGGATATATGTTGAGGAATACCTGTATTGCAAAGGTTGAGAACCTCTGGGTTAACGATGAGCCTTACTCAGAAAAACCTGGGTCTTAGTTGTCCCATAGGTGCTTTTTCCAAGAGGCAACTGGACTTTCTGGTTTTTCTTTGAAGACGTATCACTTCTCATCCAAGAAGCTTCTTAGAATGGATGACTAGAATCTCCATAGACTGGATCTTAGTTCTTTTGGGAGTAGCTCTTCAAATTAACAAGCAACCATACTTCAACAAGTCACACTTTGTATTCTTCATTTTAGTGTTTCCTCCTCATATAGCTCTGGGGAAGTCCTTCAGCCTCAAAGTTCAGAAATGAATAGGATCTATTGCTAACAGGGCAAGGAAAAAAGGGGGACTGGGAGATGCATCTGACATAGCACTTAATATTTCAAATACTTCAATGATTCAATATCTTTTATTTGTGGCAGAACTTGAGAACTTGAGAACTTGAGATTTATATCTCATTTAAGATGTAAGGACAGTTTGTTGTTGATTTCAAAACATACAAAAAACAATGGAGAGAAAAATGCATTGTCTTAGACTGCAGCAAGAAGAAAGTGGGATGGGAAGAGTTCAAAGGAACATTTTCCTCCCAGGCCTTTCACATTCTCAAAAGCTCTGTGCTTCCTGGTACCTTTTGGATACAGAAATCTGCAAGCATTGCAATATATCCAATTACTATACAGCTCAGAAAAGCAGAAACTTGGGTATGTTACAAAACATCCTGTTTCAGCAAAGAGAGAAGCAAGTGGAGTGTGTGGTGATATGGAAAGCCAAAATTAAAGGTTTGGGTAGTTTCTTTTGGTTTGTGCAGTTCCAAGCCAAGTAGACTGCTAGAACTGATTCAAACCACTACCATAAATCAACATCTCTAATCACTTAAGGCCAGAAATGATGAGCTCGTGTATTTCTCGAGGCTGGTGGCTTGCTGCAGAAAAATAATGATTGGTTTAAACTGAAATGTTGATCACAGCACAACCTTCCATGCACCATAGTCTGCTCTTGTGTGTTATGCTGAGATAGTTATCGGGTATGTCACATATTATGTCATGTTATGGAATGATTTAGTTTGCTTTGTGAGAAGAAATCTTAATTTTTCTTTGATTCTTTGGAGGCAGTATTAAACCTAACACATAGGTTATTGGAGGTTTTCTAGTCCAACCCCTTGTTGAAGCAGGAGAACCTATACCATATTGAACAAATTGATGTCTAATCTCTTCTTAAAAACCTGTACTGATGGAGCATCCACAACGTCTGGAGGAAATCCATCCCACTAATCAGTTGTTCTCACTTCCAGGAAATGTGACCGTTTCTGTTTGTGTGACAGAATAATGTTAACAGAGAGAGAGAGAGAAAGAGAGAAAGAGAGAGAGAAAGAGAGAGAGAGAGAGAGGGGGGGGGAGAGAGATGGTGGCATCCTTGGCATCTTCAAAGCGCAACATTCACTTGGTATTAAATTATTGTCTTCAGCTGAAAAATAGGCAACCTCAAATGCTTTGGGCTTTAGCCTGCAGACCAAAGTCCTTCCTCCTCCTTGAACACCTGACTCTCATCCAGTTGTCAGCCATAGTTGTTCTCCAACTATGTCTCTAGATTTGTCTGTATGTGGCCTCTTGCCTTCAAAAGTGAAGGGCCATCCAAGGGCAAAATAATGGAGTTTTCCACTTTCTTTCCTCTCTTTGAAGGAAACTTGGAAACGAAGAGGAAATGAATGATGTCAAGGGATGTGGCTCCTAAGGAATAGTCTTTCTATTTCAAAGTCCTGCCCTTGTTGTCAGCATAGCTGATTAACTCCTATTTTGTTTATTACATTTGTATCTAACCTGTATTATTTTTACAAATAACCTAAAGCAGCGAACATATTCAACACACTTTCCTCCACCTATTTTCTTTACAACCACAACCCTGTGAGGTGAGTTGGGCAGAGAGAGAGTGACTGGCCCAAGATCTCCCAGATGGCTTTGTTTCCAAAGCAGAACTCAAGGTCTCCCAGTTTCTAGCCTAGTGCCTTAATCACTAACCAAACTGGCTCTCTTTAATATCTTTATTAGAAGCAACCACAATGTCAGAGAAAGACTTCTTCAATATTCATTCATCACATCTTATAAAAGCAGCTGCTCGTAAATATAGTATCTGCTGTTTCACATTGTCCTGCTGATGCTGATAGTGTGTAGATTTTTAAAACTTGCATATATGCATATAATATTTTGATTAATCCTACTTCTCAACCTCTTTTTTTCTTATTCATTGTTATATATATTTAATATTAAGCATAATTTAATTTGTTTTTTTTCTCCTCACAATTTATATAGACTTTATTTTAGATTACAATTGCTTAGTTCCACCACTAGATGGCATAAATTCTTTTCTTTGCTGTTCATGGTTAGGTTTTATTATGTCCATGGTGAATGGTCTTTAAATTTGTGAATTAGATAGTTTAGAAATTTCATTGATCCTGTTTGTGTTTTGTCAGGGTTACCTGAATCTTAATTTCAATTGTGTTGTGAATGAGCAAGATAAAATTATAACAATGAAACTGATTGATTACTTTGGATGGTTTGAGTTCTCATTAAATTATCCTATCCTTTCCTTTCCTTTCCTTTCCTTTCCTTTCCTTTCCTTTCCTTTCCTTTCCTTTCCTTTCCTTTCCTTTCCTTTCCTTCCTTCCTTCCTTCCTTCCTTCCTTCCTTCCTTCCTTCCTTTTTTTCAGACAATGTGCCTTGGTGGCCCTTGAAGATGTTAAACTTTATCTCATGGAAGAGTCTGGCCAGATTGCTGTAAGTGCACACTTGATCATTGGGACGTAATGCTGCAAAAATGGAAAATCTGGCTTTCCAGATACTGTTAAATTACAACTCACAGCATCCTAAACTTTGACCTCTCTGACTGATTTATAATTCAGCAACATCTGAAGGATTCAGAAGAGATGCTCAGAGCACTAAACCTAATTTTTAAAAAGAAGTATTGGCCAAGCATCAGCCGTGGATTTGCTAGGATGGTAAGACCTGGAACAGCCCAGGTGTGCCAGATGCTGAAGCCAGATTTAATTGTAGAATTCTCTCTCCTTGCAGGCATGCAGATAGTCCTCAGCTTATGACCACAATTGGAACCAGAACTTCTATCACTAATCAATGCACTTATTATATGAGTTGCACTTGATTTTATCACCTTTTCTGTGCAATTGTTAAGTGAATTACCACTTTGGTTTTGTGAATCCAGCTTCCCATACTGATGTTGCTTGTCAGAAATCCCCTGTGAAGGTCCCAAATGCTAACCATACACACCCTAGGATGCTGCAAATGTCATAAATACATGCTGGTTGCCAAGTGTCTAAATTTTGATCTGCTAACCATGAGGATCTGGGATGGTCATAAGTGCACGTACCCATGATAAGTCGCTTCCAACATGATCCATCTCTCTTTTCTGCTTTTTGTTCAGGTCTTTGATGCAACCAACACAACACGAGAAAGACGGGATATGATTTTAGCTTTTGCCAAAGAACATTCTTTTAAGGTGATTATTTTGTTGCAAAATGTCTATGGAGATTCTCAGTCATCCAGGTCATGGAGGTTGTGCTTTTTTCCCCAAAAGGCAACTGGACTTTGTTTTTACCTTGAAGACATTTCACTTCTCATCTATGAAGCTTCTTCAGAGGGGAAGGGGGGGAAAGTCTAGTTGCTTTTTGGAAAAAAACTGTTTGGGGACATTTTGTTGCAACTTTGCTCTAGTGTAAAGTCAGAGACAAATACAAGTGACAATCATGACTTCAGGATGCTGCAAATGGGCATTTGTCTTTGGCTTTAACTTTGGCTTGCTAAATGAAAAGCTACTTTTGCCATAGGTAATCTCACGTGCCCATTTGTAGATTTCTGAAAATAAACAAACTTTGTTACTTCTACAACATAAAAAGTACCTTAGTTTCATCAACCTTTTTTCTATTCAGCTGACTTGATGTCCAGCATTCAGTCATATTTGACGAAGTAGCGAAGACAAATTCCAACAAAAAATTGACCAGTCTTTTCCAAAACATATGCTGTGCTATGCTGTGAGTCACCAAGCAGCCCTAAATTGATCATACAGGAATTTTTGTAAATATATTGCTGTGTATTTTTAATGGTACATTATTGGCCAATTAAATATTCAGATGATGAAATGATGTAATAGTTGTTTGGATTTTTATCATATTTTAAAAAGATCCATTTGGTCACATCATGTTAGTTGAAAATCCTCACCTTCTAGTCAAAGGTGAACTTTGGTTCGGTTTCAAAAATCCTTGGAAGAAACCAGTTCATGCAATTTGTCCCTTTTCTTGCAGTCTGCAAGATGGAAGAGAAGGGGAAAAGGATGAGAGAGAAAATAGAGAAAAGAGAAAGAGAGAGACAGAGACACAAAAAGAAAGAAGATAGTACTATAAAGATAGGACATCACCCATTTATGGTCTGGTTCCACTTACCGTTTTCTTTGACCTCCCACATCTTGGTATGCAATGCAGCCATGAAAGAATTATTTCTGCAGAAAGACAGTTCTTGATAAAAAAACTTTCTTATCCTGACTCAAGAATGTTTGTATTTTACAAAATAAAATTCATTTTTCCTTTTGTAGGTTTTTTTTGTGGAGTCTGTCTGTGATGACCCCGAAGTCATTGCTGCCAATATATTGGTTAGTGTTTTACATTCTTTACCTTTGTTATGCTCAGTCATTCCTGCTGGAGAAAGAATTAGCATCATTGTCGCCAGGGGTGGGTTTCACATGATTTTACTGTGCATGCGCAATAGCCTATAAATAGGTCTGCGCATGCACAGAACATTTAAAAAGGTCAAAAAAAGATCTTGCGGCATCCGGATAACCGGTTCGGGGACGTGGCGACCATGGCATCCCTACCAGTTCGGAGACCCAGTCACCATTTCTACTACTGGTTCCACCAAACCAGTGCGAACCGGTAGGAACACACCTCTGATTGGAGCATATTTAAACTTAGGCTCTTTAGCCAGAGTTAGAAAGCATACCTGTACACTAAAATCGGTGCATTATTTCTTTAAAAAATCATTTCTATTTCAAAATGGTCAAAACTCTCTATAACTTGTTAAAAGATAATATTTATAAAAAGTAGTTTCTTTATGTGTATATAAAGTTTCTGTAGAGATAGAGTTTATCTTTCAAAGCACTCATTTTTTGATTGCACCAGGATGTTAAAGTCTCCAGTCCAGATTACCCAGAAAGAAACCGAGAGAATGTGATGGAAGATTTTCTGAAGAGAATAGAATGTTATAAAGTCACCTATCAACCCCTTGATCCAGTTGATTATGACAAGTAAGAGCCACAGCAAAGGAATCATGGGAATTCTTGATCATAGGCTTGGATCCAGGACACACCAATGGAAGACCAGGCAGAGGTGACTTTTCTGAAGACCTTCCCTGAAAAGCCTCTTCCTGAATAGGTTTGGCTTGTGACAGGGGAAGATAAGGTCTTCCTTATAAACCTGATGAAATTCAAATGGAGGATTATTCTGGAATCACTCCACCCAATTTTTCAGTTACATTTGTTTCGTTCTAAACTCCCTGTGCCTTAGTCCACCCTAAAAGAATGCTTCAGCATTCCAAACTTCAGAAGAGACTGGTCAGTGAGTTTGCCAGGGGAAAAAAATAATTTGAAAAGTCACCTTCTACCATATCTCATTCCATTGATACTTCTCTGGATCATGGTTACTGCATATGTTTGGAATAGAAATGGAGTGGAAGAACAGATGGGAGGATATTATGATTTTTGGAAGGATATTGTAGAAAATAGTGGAGAATTCAGAGATTTTATGCATGCAAGGGCTATTTTTTCTTACTTATTAAGGACAGAAATAATTTCTAGTATAAGAATCAGGTTTTGTAACATCTATTTTGGTTTGGGACTGGTGCAAGAATCCCTTCTCCTTTTTAGCAATATTATTATATTATTTAGAAATAATTTTTAAAATACTTAAATATTTTTAATCATTAGTATACTTTAAAAAGTATCTCAGAGATACTTTTATATGTCTGAAAATACTTGCCAAAATATAATGGTTTTTTTATTCCTCATGATTTCATAGAAATAAGCTTTTAACTTTCTGCTTTCCAATATATTTCTACTACTACCTTGTTACTTCTCATTCACAGTTATTGCTTTGTGTGTGTGTGTGTGTGTGTATGTGAGAGGGAGAGGGAGAGGGAGGGAGAGAGAGGGAGGGAGGGAGAGAGAGAGAGGGGGGGGGGGAGAGGGAGAGAGAGAGAGAGGCTGCACGTTAAATTTGATCTCCAAAAGCTGCTTTGGACTAGTGGAAAATGAAAAATGCAGCTGTATCTTTTCCTTACATTCTGCAGCTGTTGTGTAAGCCCAATGCTATGAGCAGGTACTATATTCATCTCCAGCATCTTTGAAACATCTTTTGGAGACTTAATCCTAAGTATTGCCCAGATCTAATATCTAATTAAAAACTGGTTCTCATATCCATCTATTTTATGCATCAGCCTTTTACCTTTCTTTCTTTACCTTTCTCTCCCTTAGTTACAAAAACAAACATTGAATAATTATGTGATGGCTTGATACCTAATGATTTCTGGTATTTTTTTAAATTACAGAGACCGTTCTTTCATAAAAGTTATCAATGTTGGGCAGCGCTTTCTGGTCAACCGGATCCAAGACTACATCCAAAGTAAAATTGTCTATTATCTCATGAATATTCACATTCAGCCACGCACAATTTATCTCTGTAGACATGGAGAAAGTGAATGCAACCTTATTAGAAAGATAGGTGGAGATTCGGGCCTGTCAACACGTGGGAAACAGGTATGGTCTAATTCACAGGAAGTTTGCACATTTGTAGGGCACTGCTGTGTTTTGGATTCAAGGCAAAAAGGCAGTCAGAGCACACACATTTTAGTTGTTAACAACTCCTTAAGCGTAACATGTTTTCTGCACACATTGCTTTAATGAATTACAAGCAGGAGCTACATGAATTTGCATACTGACAGCTAAATTAAGACTGATTTTCTGCCCACATTTACTTTTAGTTCAGCTGAAGAAATACATACTCAAAACAACAAATGTTACCTTCTAAATTTTTTGCTGGAAGAATAGTTCAATTTACTGTACAAAATAGTATTCTGAGAATACCCATAGACATCATCACCTTACTTCATTAAAACTTTTTTTTTAAAGATACAAATGTGTTTTAAATAAATTGAATGGAATAAAATATTTCTTTAGCATTTATACCTTAAATTTCCTCTGTGATATCCTCCTTCCCTAATCATTTTACTGTAAAAAAATTGTAATTACTCAAAGTAACCAACTCCTTGGAACCTTACTAGTATACTTCTAATATAAATCAGAAATCATAGTAATCACAAAAACTCTGTAAGTTGCATAGAACCATTTATAATGGAAATATGCTTACATATAATAGTACAACCCATTGTTTGATATGTTATTTTTAGATAATGGATTGCAACCAAATTACCTTTCCTTAATGGAAGGTTTTTTCATGCCCTGTTACAGCCCAGTGTACTTCTCCAAAATTGGCCTGTAACATGGGAGAATTCTACAGAGTGGTACACTGACAGAAGCTTCTCTTGGATCAAAAAACTTTATATTACAGTTGGAATTGTAGCATAGCAGTTGGAAACAAAAAAAGGAATATGACCATTGTATACAATACAATAAAAATGGCAAATTTTGTATTGAACTTTGTGATGATAAAATTTTAGCGGTGTAGGAGAGTTTAGCGGGAGAGTTGCTTTCTACAGCTTCCAAATCGCTGTACCCAATGCCACCTTAAATTTTTGTCCTCCTAATGTAGACAGTACCAAAGACAAGTTGCTTATCTTTGTAATATGCAAGGGGAAATCTTAATCATACTATATTATTTTATAGTTTGCTGAGGCTCTGAAAAGATTTATCAAAGAGCAGGAGATTATGGATCTGAAAGTTTGGACTAGCCAGTTGAAAAGAACCATCCAAACAGCAGAAGCCTTAGGAGTGCCGTACGAGCAATGGAAGATACTGAATGAAATTGATGCAGTGAGTAGAATGGAAGAAAAGTTAAAAGGATAGTGATGATGTAGCTTCAAGTAACCTTCGTTGCCATAAAGATAAGCCATATACAATTTCATCTATCCGTCTGTCTGTCTACACCTCTCTCTCTCTCTCTCTTTCTCTCTCTCTCCCTCCCTCCAGCCCTTTCATAAATTAAATTCAAAAATAAATCCCATTTCAAAAAGAAAATTATGTCTGCAGTCAAGAAGCACTTTTTATCAATAGATCAGGTTCAGTATTGTCAAGCTCTTTCCAAGCTTCTGAAATAATAGATGGTGTAATATGCTTGGTATCATGTTTGTAGAAATGTAAGTCTTGGAAAAGACAAACTGCTTAAGTTCAATTAAATTCAGTTGATTTCTGCTCTTAATTTTCTAGGGAGTATGTGAAGAAATGACATACGAAGAGATTCAGAGAAAATACCCAGAAGAGTTTGCACTTCGAGATCAAGAAAAGTACCTTTACCGCTATCCTGGAGGAGAAGTGTGTTTTTTAATCATTGCTGTAGTAAACTAAATATTACCACTTTCATTTGATAGAGTTGGAAGTGTATTCAGTATGTTGCAACAATACTCCTCAAACATATTTTAAAGTTAAAAAAGAACTACAATAAAGAATTCTCCTGGAGCTGATTGAGAAATGGCATAATAAACATTTTGGGGCAGAAACACAGCAAGTCTTAGATGCTTTCAAAATTCTTATTCTTATCCTCAAATTCTTAACTTCTGATACAGTGTTAGATTTTGAAATCTGAAACGCTATCACAGCCTTCTGAATCATCTAAATTATGCAATTATACCCACTGAAAGATTTTTAGGCATTATAGTATGGGTGTCAAACTCACCGCATCATGTTGCCATCACATGACATTTCACGACATTTTCCTCATTTACGGAGCTGGGGTGGGCATGGCCAGCGTTTGACGCATCTGGCCCATGGGCCACCAGTTTGACACTCCTGCATTATAGTGATGCCAATAAAGAATAAGAAAGTTCTTCATTTAGAAATCTTGCCTCCACTTCTCAAATCAAAATAAATCATGTAAGCTATGTTAAATTTTCCAAGAGATATCCATGATATCTCATAATATATAGATAAAATATAATAAATAGTCAACTAGGTAGAAAACATATTTGGGTACTTTAAAAAGTTCCATATATTGGAAACTTCCCTCTTTTTGATTAATATTTTTCTTGGGCTTTTTTAGTCTTACCAAGACTTGGTCCAGCGCTTGGAACCTGTAATTATGGAACTGGAACGTCAAGAGAATGTCTTAGTTATTTCTCACCAGGCGGTTATGAGGTGTTTATTGGCCTATTTTCTTGACAAGAGTGCAGGTAAAAAAACCTTTTCTTTTTATAGCTAATGGAAATAAGGCAGTGATTGTCTAGAATAGAGGTGAGCAGTTTATTTGTAGTTCCTTCTCTTTAGATCCCCAATTTACTTAATTGAAATTGATCATCATAGCTTGCCATACAATTTCAGTTTGTAGTTCTTTTCTTCTAGCAACTCTTTGAGGGAACTTTGTTTTTTTATGTTGATTTTTTTAATGTCATATTTTCTGAACAGCTTCCTTTTAAACATTGCCTTACCTACTTTTACCTGACCACTCCAACCACCACTGCTATGCTACCTTAATCTAGTAAAACCAAACTGTATATAGCCTTCAACTACCAAGAAGTTTCTCTTCCTTAATAGGAAACAATTTATTAACTACATAAGATAATACATGCATAATTAGTAACCACATCAGTTTAATAAATAACAATAATGATAGAAGCCATGAGAATAGATTTCGTTCAGAACTGCAATGTGTAAGGGGAGGATATTTTCCTTTTTGCCAGATGAAACTCAGTCTTCACATTCACACATGCTCTTACCCACCCACCCAGTTTATAAAGCTGCCATGGTTACTAAAATAAATTCAGTTTCATATAGTTGATTATTTTCCAGACTAGATATGACTGTCCTGCCTAAAGTTATTGACATTATGGGCACTTTCAAAACATACATATTCACATTCAGTGATTTTTACTGATATTGGAGCCAGTAATCTCTATGTGTGGAGGTGAGGATGTGACTCTGTAATAAATGTGCAGTAAAGGCAAGTGTGAAATTATTGTTTGACCAGGTTTTATTGCAATTTTGTTTTGTTTTTTATATTGATTATTTCTCTATGTTCTTTAAATGTTACTCAATATTATTGGGTTAATATACTTGCTACATTAACCATCCCCAGTCTAGTATAGTCTAGATATCTTGGACTAACATTTCCAGAATTCTTAGCTGTCTTGCTAAGTGCCTTAGATGTGGTGCATGTCTATGTCCGTATTTCAAAATGTGCATATGTGGCATCATAATCCAGAGTCCAGCCCCTTTTGAATGTTTATCAATGTTGCAGGCATAATTGAGAATGTAAAATCTATGACTATGATGCAGATTTTGACACAAACACACACACACACTCCATCCAGCTGAAGGATATCCAGTTGAGGAAACCATACTATTGTGTAGAAGACCTATGTATTATAATATATCATCTTCCATGGAATATCATGACTGTAAGTGTTATCGGGAAATGTAAAAGTATTCTCAGAAAGCAATAGCAAACAACTTCCATATTGCCATCAGCAAAGCTACCTAGATCTGTCCATTGACTAGAAAGAAATTTTCTTTAGATAATTTCAAAGAATCACCATTACATAATTGGTTTGTGGTAATTAGATGGAGTGCCATGTTGAAATTGTTAAATTTCTGCACAGCAGAATATTTAGAATATTCAAAAAATTTGAGAGAATATAGTTGTATTGCCTCTATTCTGTACCCCAATTCTAATACTAACATTATCTGAGTGTCACTCTTCAGAGCCTGCAGGTTTGTTCATTAATTAAGTTCCTGCTGAATCAAAATATACTGTGTGTTTTATATTATCCAGTACATCTGTTTAACTTTTATTACTTTATCTTAGATGAATTGCCTTATTTAAGATGTCCTCTACATACCATCTTTAAGCTTACACCAGTTGCTTATGGCAAGTATTTATTTGTTTATGTGGGAACATGAAAGAGAAAAGCAGTAATACAAATATCTATTTATATTGTCACTTGTTTCATTATTTTAGGTATCTTCTACTTTTTGAATCAATAAAACGTAATTAGTTATATATATATATATATATATATTAGATTTTTTACAACCCCTGGTAAGCCCCAATTATGGGAGGAAGCTAACTGCTTCCATCATCTGTCCTTCGGCTCGTCACAAGAGTCCATCACGACAGAAACCCAATATTTTTACTGTTGCTAAAATCTAATAGATACCTTTACTAAAATTACTAAAATCTAATAGATACCTTTCACCCTGGCTTCGCTGATAAACGGATAAGAGCCTGTGGCCTAATGGCTAAGATCTCTGCCTAGTATGCCTAGTGTGCAATATAGCCCAGGTTCAAATCCCAGTAAGGGTATGGCTAGCTGATGAGAGCTAAATAGCTTGAAATAGATCTATACTAGTCTCGCTTTATTTATTTATCAGCACAAATAAAAAACATATATATATATTTGGTATATGTGTGGCTTTTACCCATCTTAATTTCCCTGAATCATGATACTTTTCCTGATAAAACATGATAAATTAAATCAATAATAAGCTACATTAAATGTGACTTGTTGTGGAATAGCTAATTAAATAATTACAGTGAGACCTATGTCTTCCATCTATATGTCTAATTCTTGCCTACTTTGGCATAGTCCTTGGAGTCTGATACATATATTGTGTGTGTGTATGTGTATTCATTTCTCTGATGATATTATAGTACTTCAATTCCAAAAATGGTGCCTAAAGTTCCTTATATTTTCATATTTTATGAAGGCTGTAAATTAGAAATGATTTCTCTGAATGTTGAAGCTGTAGATACCCACCGGGACAAGCCATCTACAGTGGTATGTACTAAAAAAACATTTCTGCTATAATTCCTCTATCGTCTTATCTCTTTTATATTTCATTTCTGACTTAGTCATAGTCAACCTTAGGTAACTCTCAAGAAAGGGAAAGATGAAAAGAGTACTGTATTTATAATGTGTTTTTCATTTCTTTTGTTCTCCCCAAATCTGTGGGAAAACAGGTTTTCATGAATATAGAGAGAAACCATACAATAAATTCATAAAATTTAGTTTATGCTGATCAATTTTTGGTGACAGTTTGGGGACAGCTACATTGGACATATTAAATAGTCCATGAAATGCAGACTTAAAAAACATGAAAAGATTATTAGGAGAGTCAGTTTAACTGAACACTGCTCACAAGGGCCAAAACAGAAAACAGATTCAGGAAATATTAGCATTTTGATATAGTATAATATAAAATTTTCAGAATTATTAGAAAGGCGATAGAAATTCATATCTGAATATTTTAAATAGGGAAGAAGTCTGTCAGCAATCACCTTCATAACAATTGATTAATCAGTGACTGATCAAAGGCATTGCTTCATATTGAACATGAGCAGATCAAGATACAACATCTATATCCAAGTTTAATTTCAGATCCACTCTGAAGAACTGTGTAGCTTCATTGTAAAAGTTATAGAAAACATATTGCAAATGCTTCATTTCTGAGAAGAAACTGCCAAGACTTTATTCTGTTTGCAAATATTGGCTTCGGCAGATGTTCAAAATGGTTCTGTGTAGTGATGAAGGCCCATGTGAAGCACCCTTCATGATGCTGTGTGAAACAGTGGCCCCACCTCTAAGAGTCATGTGGTTTCACTTTACAAAAGAAGTTTCTGTGTAGGTGCTGCATTTGTACAGAAGTCTCTCTGACTCTTCTATTAATCTATTGCAAGCAGCAGGAGAGGTTTCTGTACAAGGTCAACATATGTAAAAAAAAAAAAATGAGTTACCAAAATTTGCAGAGAAGACCTTGTAGAGATGAAAAGTGCCCTATCAAAGGGAATAGACAAGTGCTTTGTCAATAAAAAGAAAAGTTACTTCTTCCAGCTTTAGCAAATATGTCATTTCACATGCACAGTAAGGTAGAATATGTTTTTGTTTTTTTGTGATTGTGCTTTCCAAAAATCAATCTTCCCAAGCTGTAGTTTCACTTCTTTTTCTCTGAGTTCTTTGCCAGATTGCACGTGGCAATACTGTCTGATTTCATATTAATTACACTCCTGCATGTCAGATCAAATATCCCATACCATAATATTTCTTTGGCTTTGTTTACATTATTAGCATGATCTTTTATCTGATAATATATAGAGAAAGATGCAATTGCTTTGACACTCCCAGCAAATGTAACATCTTTTAGTATTTATCTCTCTTTGATATTAAGTATAAAAACAATACTGACATTCTGTTTAAACATAGCTTCCTATTTTCTGGTTAGGCCTTTAATAACTCATATTTAGGCCCATCCCAACAATGTTGTGTGACTTGTCCAACAAACCAAGATTAAAACAAACCGACTTAGTGCAATGTATAAACATATGGGAAGGAGTATGTAACTTGGTGGTGAGAGAAAATCATTCTGCAGATTCTTGGAAATACTTTTATTGAAATGAATACCACTAATGCCACTAACTTGCAAATATGCATTTCTATTAATTCATGCAAATGAATGGTATTTCACGTATGTGCTTTGAATCTTTTTCAATTAATTGGTAATGTTCTAGATAGCAGCATGTAACTGTCCTTGGCAGATGGTCACAAAGCAAAATTAGTGCTAGCTAGTTTTTGGAAGGAACAGCAGTGAAATACCTGGGCTGCAAGGTAAATCAGCAACTTGAAAGGGGAAATCCCAAACAAAGGAAGAGCAATCCACTTCTGTATTATTGTAAGGAAAACAAGGTCCATATATTCTCCAGTGGTCAAGGTCAACTGAAAGAAGATAATTTTAATTTAATGCTCTTGATTAGATATCTACTTTCCAATATACTTTTATTTCTACATTTCAAAGCTTTAAGCTCTGTCATATAATGCTATTGATAGAAAAAGAATACCCTCACTTTTTTCATAATCTTGTGGGGGGAGACGACTGTTGACTTGAGAATTGAACTGCAAAAATGTGGAGGCCACAACAATAATAATTTCTATTTTAAAAACTGACTGAAATTTCATAGTAATTTAGTCACAAGATATAGTATAGCCGTGGAAAATATTTGTGTTCTTATGCAATGAACCTCTTGGGAAATTTTCCCCATCTGTACTGTCATAGGGTGTGGAGGATTTAGTCATACATCCTACCCACTCAGGAATCTAGAGGACCACAGGAAGCAATAAAATCTCACTTCATTCTTCTAAACTATAAATTATTTCTTCATAGGCTGCAAAAGTAGACACTGTACAAATTCTTATGCAATACCAATATATATTTTTCCTGTATGTATTAGGAAAAAACTAAAATATGAGCTTAAAAGTCTGAGTGTATGAGAATACCCATTCTGCTGAGCAGAAGTGGGCACTAGATAACAATCTTATATCAGAAATAATATACAAAACAGTGGTGTTGATGAGAAAGATTTAAACTGACAAAACTGGAAAAGGAAAATTATCCTTTCCTTCTGTAATCCCCCATGTACTTTTAATACTTGCTCTGCTGTATCTCCCAGGCTACAGAACAGCTGTTAATGGTACTTAAGAGAGGGAGAGAAATAATCTGTTTATGCATCCTTGAATTTCATCCAATTCTTTGCATGCTACGGATATTATTTTAGCTGTGTCTAGCATGGAATACATTATTTACATATCCTGTGCTCTATTTCTAATTCCTAATCAATTTTCTCAACTGCTAACTTGTTGTGAGTTAATCTGTAGAAAGCGACACCTTTCCCCAGTTTTTCGTAAGAAAAGCAAAATCTGAACATAATTTTTTTCTCTATTTTAAAAACGAAGCATTTGTATCCATATTGCAACATTTAAAAGCTGCTAAAATGACCAAACTCCTACTAAAATAGTTAAATGTCATGATCAATAGGTACATTTGGTGTAATAAAGGGCCTGAAAGCTACTACTAAAAAAAGTATTATGTGAAAGAGAGTTTCAACAGTTACTTTTCAAAAGGCCCTCTCCACCGAACTGTTAAAGCTCTTTGTTTTGAAAGGTAGATAAGACCTTCAGCACTGATCAAGTGGAGGCAGCTTAATGCTGATAAAGTTCATATAGTGTTTTAAAAAGCAAAACTCACAATGTAAATTTTACCTGAAAACATACTTGTGGACAATATAGGTGGTATAATAGAGGTATCGCATATTACAACTGTATCTTAAAAATGATCATTGTGTACCAATTGCAATGTCAGAATGATCACATTATATAATGCTACTGTAGCATAGTTTACTGAAACAAAATTCCTCTGGTGTCAAAGTTCCCTTAGTTATGCAAATCAAAATGTGTATTTTAAAACAAAAGCAGAAATTACAGAATTTATGTGGAAAAAAAATATCTCTACCTATTGAGACTCGTACAAGCGGCAGTTAATATGTAAGTAGTTTTTTGTCATGCTTAATTTTTTTCCACTGCAATCATTTATCAGAAACAAATTTTCCTAGTCATTTTTTTCTATGTTAAAAATATGAATTTATTGCTGAACATTATGTTTTAATTTGGAAATTAATTCATGAATGAATGAATGAATGAATGAATGAATGAATGAATGAATCTTTTAAAAGACAGAATCTTCTCTGCTTGCAATAATTGCAACGAATACATAGGCAACATGGGATACTTTCTATTTTTAGGTAAGAGGCGAGGTGGCGCAGTGGTTAGAGTGCAGCACTGCAGGCTACTTCAGCTGACTGCAGTTCTGCAGTTTGGCTGTTCAAATCTCACCCGGCTCAAGGTTGACTCAGCCTTCCATCCTTCCGAGGTGGGAAAAATGAGGACCCGGATTGTTGGGGGCAATATGCTGACTCTGTAAACCGCTTAGAAAGGGCTGAAAGCCCTATGAAGCGGTATATAAGTCTAATTGCTATTGCTAACTGCTATTTTTTAACACACTGTTGCAGAAGCTTTATAGTTAAGAGCAGGCAAAATTAGTTCCTTACTCCATTATGATTTCCCCCCTTTGGTTTACTGAAGAGGTGAGCAACTGTCACTTCTTTAAAATTCAGCTGCTGAAGGCTCTAGAGATTGTAGCAGTGACATTATCAGGAAAGGAAGGAAGAGATTTGTAAAGGTTATGTTGGCAGAACAGGAATCATTCTCAGCCAGGCAAATCTTTATGTAAACAAGGAAAAGTGTACCCAGCAATCAAGGCTGGGAAAAGAATAACAAGAAATGCATTAACTGAAAAGCAGAGGAAAAGGTTTAGTAGGTACGCAGTGCACCTTTTTCTGTTTGTTTTCATTGTGCTTTCATGCCAGACAGTTTTGTGCTTTTATTAATCTGAGTCTTGTGTGCCTCAAGACTGGCTCTCCCAGAATGTGTCTGTGTCTGTCTGTGTGTGTGAGTGTGTGCCCATGTCTTATATAGTTTTAGATACTATATTAGCTGCTGACCAGTAGGAGGCACTAAATGATTGGACAAAACTGGACAGAAGCTAATATGACTTCTAAAGATCTAAGATTTAAACCCAGGGTTGACATATAATTGAGACTAAGTTTGATCTGCCTTCTACAGAACTCAATATCTGGGTATACATTACTTTTGCAATAAATTAACTAGCTCTATTGAGCCTGAGGAGCTTCTGAGTGTGGGGATGTTGTTTCTGGAAAGTTGACATTTACTGTTAGACCTACCATAGTATGAAGTTTGGCAGGATTACACCTATTGACCCAAGTATGCTTGGGAGGAGGGTAAATAAAATGTTGGTGTTTCATTCTCTCAGGATGTTAAAACTTAAGTATTTTTATGCTTTTTATTTGAATAAGAAGAAAAGTCGCATCATGTGTTTTGGTAGTGTGGCCAGATGTGGTTCAGGAGTGGATAAGATTGTGGATCTTTAGTAATGTATATGGCAAAATCTCTTTGGCCCCAGAGGACATGGGATGAAATTAGCTTCGGTCCAATGGTGACTTATGCATCAAATTTTTGCCTATTTCCTTTGCCTCCTAAAGTCATTTGCTGTTGTTCCATATTGTTACATGGCTTCCCAAGTCTGTCAGATCAGCTTTATGGGGCTGAGCATGGGGAGTTTAGTGGATAAAAGGGTGGGCTCAGAAAAACTCCAGTTATTGTACCTCGCTCACATAGGTACGATACTTGTACACCAGCACTCTTGGATACAACTCATATTCACATTTCTCAGATGTCCTAGGAAGCAGGATTTTAATTATCACATTGTGGACAGAGGTTATGGCGGAGGGGGTGGAGACATCTGGATGGATAGCCTGGCATCAGAAACAGTCAGTGCCATTGTTTTTGCTTTGTGAGTTAGTTTCTCATTCTTATGGTGTCCTCCATTTTTAATCAGAATAACCTTCCAAAGAGCCAAACCCCTGTAAGGATGAGAAGGAACAGCTTTACACCACTAGCCAGTCCGGACACAGTAAAACGGCCTCGCAATTACAGTGTTGGGAGTCAACCTCTCAACCCGGCAGGATCCCTGCTGTTCCAGGAGGCTCAAGATCAACAAAAGCTTCAAGAGAGTGTTCAGGCGGTAATATCCTAAATCTCTACTCCAATTTGTACCACTGCCGAAGCAAACAAGAAAAAGAAAGGCAGTTAAAGAGTGCCTGCAATTGTGGGGTTTAACAACATAGAACCATTTCTTATGTCTTAAAAGCTACTAAACGTTTAATCAACTGGGTATAAATTGTGCAACGAAATTAGGCAATTTTCAGTCCAAATCTCTTGAAGTCTACAAAATTAAGGAAAGCTGAACTGAAACTGCTATGATAGGCCAGGCTCCAGTAAACAACCATTTTGTTTTTTTGTTTTTTTTGTTATTACTGTTCATCAATCTATCCTATCTATCTATCTATCTATCTATCTATCTATCTATCTATCTATCTATCTATCTATCTATCTATCTATAACACGCTGCCATAATTCCTTTCTAGCTGCGTCT